ACTTACAGAATGGAGCTGCAGAAACTCGTGCACTAAAGCTCTTGAGGAAATACGACACATGGAAAGAATCAATACAGGTCTCACACCCCAAACAGATGAAATTTGGGCAGCTTGGAGACTTGCAGCTACTCAGTGTCACTACTTAACACTAACTGAATATCTACATCATGATTTTCCACTTTATTTACTACAAAGAAGTAGGAATTTTAGAGGTTGATGAAATGCCTCCATATTCATACAAATCATAGGCATAATGGTGAAAAAAAACCACAACAGCTGGTGAGAAGATGAACATCAAGACCTGCAAGTCTCTCAGTCAGCCTACAAGGATCCATGCAGCATGTCCAACAACCCAAAGAAGCGGCCCAAGTGGGCAGGAGAGGCCTGTGCCCTGGCAGTGAGCTTGGGGGGCCACAGCTCTTCAATTCATTGGGACGCCTTAAAAACCAGAAGGCAGCCAAAAGGAAAAGGTCTTTCTAAAGCTTTTTTGGGAACAGATGGTGCAGAAAGAAGGAGCTGAGCAGGTTGCAACAGGCAAGCTCTTCCCCAAAAATCTCAATTTCTGTAACAATTTCTGTTTTCATTAAAAAGTGTCAAGTTCATGCTGGGAGTGTACGGAGAGTGGTTGGGGCTACCTGATCTTATAGAGCAGACACCTGGAAAGAAAAAGTCTCATAAGACAAGCAGAGTAAGTTTATTTTCCACAGTCTTTAAACTGCCTCTGAATGTTTGGTACTTGTGCTCATTGGCCTTCTCTTCCCTGCTGTGCTGAATCAAAGCTTCATAAAGTCCCTGCTCTTCTCAGAATGCAAAAGGAACACTTGTGACAGGCAGAAAATGCTACCACTGGCACGTCACTTCAACAGGGGAGAACTGCACGACCAAAGATGCTGCACAATCTAAATGAAATTTTGTCCATCCCCTGGAAAGAAAATCTTCGTTTAGCACTTAAGATCGGCAATAATTGGATGTAAAGCCTGGGGGAAAGACATGAAAAAAAACCGAATACAGTAAAGAAAAAAAATTGTGAGAGACAAAACTATATTATTGAGAGAAGATCTGCTTTGTTTCTAAACAGCACATACGCAAAATCTGCATATAATGCAAAAACAGAACAGAGTAGTAGACTGAAAGCAACAGCATTTTGGCTTTTCAATTGCATTTTGAAGCACTCCAGACCTGTGCTCTTCATAAGAAGCTGTAAGAAATCCTGAGAGTTAATTCCTCTTGGGTAGCTGGAATGCCTGTTCAGTTATTAGAAAAAGACTCAATTGTGAAAAATCCCCTTGAAATGTTTCACTGGGCAGATGGTGGACTAAGCCCTCCTGCCTTTGAGAGATCATCCGGTCTTTTCTCCCTAACAATTTTGCAAAGTGCTTAAATTGCTTACTGACTGATTAGAGCAATTATAAACTACTCATTAGAGAACATAAAAATAGGTACACACTTTCAGTTATCGGAAACCCTTTCTGTTCTTCCATAGCCACTGAAGATGGATCTATACTGTTGTACTTGTGTTTTAAATTTTAAACGTCCAAAGATTAGTAGGAACACTTGGGAGCCATTAGAACGGTGCAAAATCCTGACCATTTACACAAAACGCAGCGAGTGCGAGATGTGTTACAGAACTGACAAAGAAATAGTGAAAATTTAAGAAAAATAAAGGCAGGCAATACTGACACTTGTGGTCGTTTCTAGATTGCTGTTTTTCACTCAGTTACAAACATGCTTCTGATAGTTAAGAAATACACTGTGATCACAGAGTAGGCACTCAGATTAGAAATACTCTGTAATCCCCTCTGCTCTAAACAATATATTGGAAAAGTATCCTTTTTGGATCGTTAAGACCAACGGCCACACTGGCTGTATGTATAATTCTTAACACAGTTAAGATCAGCATTTATGACGTTCTGTATGAACACATTTCCAGAGGGAAAAAGAAAAGTTTCAAAGTAAAAATAACCACCCTTGAAAACACTGTTATTACTCATTTTGAATTGTCAATTGACAGGGTTTTCAACACATTGAAACTTAAATAATACTACATTTTACTCTGATAAAAAGGAATAATCTTTGCAGAGTATTTGTGGAGTTTTCATAAAGCATGACCCGTATAGAAAGATCCAATTTACGTGTCAGCTGTGATGCACGTATTTAGTTTAATTTTCAGGGGACTTGTAGCCATCAAGCAGAAAATTATCTTTCTAAGCAGTACACCTGACTGTTGCAACCACTGTAAACTCATTTGAGAAACTTCTGTTACTGCTGCCAAGAGAAAGCTTTACTTAAATGGCTCCTTCCCAGGGTCTAGTTTATCTTAAAACTAGTTTGACAAGATATGACTGCTCCCTAAAAGTTACACAAAGCAAGTTTTTCAAGATTTCTGGATAAAATATTCCCAAGTCACGCACCTCTGCTTTGCACAGATATTCTGCACAATTATCAGTCTTGTGCACAAGTTACTCTGCTTACCTTAAATGACTTCCTGCATCTGCTTCTAACTTGGTATAACTCACTGCACAGTCAACCTTGCACTGGCCATGTTAACTCTACAGCATTCCTTACATTCACACAGCACATCTGCACATCACTACAACTCCTCCTTAGCCTTAGTAGATCTAAGTATTTCAAACACCAACATTGCACCTTCTAATTTAAGATGTAACCATGGCAACATCAGAGAACATACTACTCCTTGGATCAAGAACAAGCAGACCACTGACCCTTCACAGTGAGAGTTGGCCAAAATAAAGCTCATTTCAATCCATTACCACAGCAAGATACTTAAACCTTCAGGTCACACTTACAGAGCAAAGCAAGTTCCGCCCTCCTGAAACACCCAGGAACACACAGTACTGCATAGAAGTACTAAAAAAAGTTCTATAAAAGGAAGTTTTTTTCTGAAATGTTGACTATCTCAGCCTACCATCACATACACAGATAGAAATCAGTGGGAAGGGGGGTAAGAGGGGGGCAGGGAAAGGGGCTTTTCTTTACACTTCCACAAGATAAACTAAGACCTGCTCATCCTTTAAATGTAAACAATGGGTGAACAGAAGAAGTAGTTTACTAAGACTTAAAAATTCCAGATTCAGCTTGTTCATGTTGCAAGATGTCAAGTTTGACATAGCAACACATAACAGTTCTGCCTGAACTTTACAGCCTATGCACAAGTGATGTGGTCATTTAATTTAAAAGCCAGAACTAATGTCATTGCCTTCTATCTGGAAAGTAAATGGCCCTTGAGGTTTTTGTACTTTCAATATTAGCATTTATGGGAAGAGACAAACATCAGCATGTAAACGTGCTACTTAGAATTCACGACCCTTTGGACATGCAATTTAGGAAGGATAGAAACATGAGTAAATTAAGCCAGCAGAAACTTTTGTCAGTGGAAACGCTATGGATCTAAGTGAGCTTTATGTTGAGATTTAGACTTGTTTCTCAAGTACATTCTTATATGTCTGATCTGAAGATTGAAAAATCAGTCAAGATTTACATTACTTACATCAAAGTAAGTCAACAGAGGTTAAGTTAACCACATGAGTATCTCACTGCCTGCTGGGAGTCCAGAACACAGCAAGCTGACAGTGCTAACCTCACACACACACAGCAACTGACTACATACCCTATGTAATACACAGAAATGTAAACATAAACTGTGTGTTTAAATTGCAAATCCAGTAGAAGGGGCACACATTCATTCTTTGAAAACACTGGTTCTGAACTAGTCATTGAAGTCCCAGAGAAGTAAGCAGTGTTGGCTGGAAGCATCTCCTCTCCCTCTCCATTCCCTCGCTAGCTGCCTCCCAGCCCATCCTCCAGCTTTCTTGAAATTAAAGATTTCTAGAATGGAGAAGTTTTATTTGTATTAAACACTTGGGGAATATCACCATGTTCCTAAAATAGTCCCAGGTAAGATGATAGGATTTGCAGAAAATGTCATTAGAATAGGAAACGCATACATTAAATACAAGACTAAATTAACAGAGAAAGTATGCATAGGTGATTTAGGAGAATATAAGTCCGATATTGTTTCTAGTAAGTCACCAGAACATGCATCTAGAATAGTAAAACACAGCGACTGTCTGGAGAATCATTATGAGCTAGCAAAGGAAGCACCTTCCCAATCCAACCAGAGATACCATATGAAAGACCCATTATATTTTCTTTATCCTTTGGCTAAACAAAAAAAGAAAAATCAATCCAAAGCACTGAATTCATTCTCTTTTCAAAAAAGGATGGACAAACACTTGGGTAGGAATGCTGCTAGCTTGCCATCTTCAGCATCCCCTACCGAGAGATTTTTTTAAAGCATACAGCAAATATAATGAGGTGTGTCAGCACAGAAGGGCCAGTTACTGACAGGACAGAAATTACTGACAGGAACCCAAATTCCATTAGGAGCAGAAAAACATTCTATGATACAGATATGCCTGTAATGTAAGAAAGATACTTTCTGATCCACCAATAATAGAAATAAGGCTTAACAGTTAATACATGAATGCCTTCCAACTCAACTGGCTTTTTGTAACCAAAGGTTACAAAAAGCAGCTTTTATACGGTAAAAATATGAAATACGTAAAGCAAGTATGAGCAAAGAAATATATTTTTTCCTCACCATAGAAGCACAAAAAATTTTTTTTTACTGAGAGCACCAAATGGGTTAAATCAAGCTTTGGTGTTTAAATGCTTCTAATTCCTTTGCAAAGCAGAACAGCCCTTGGAATACTGAAATAGAACATCTCACATTAAAAATCCCCCAGAGAATCATAAGTTACAGTGTCAAGGAAAAGTGAAAACAATTTGAAAAAACCCTCAATCATTCATTTAATCATCATACAATTTTTATACTATTCACCTATCATCGTGCTTGTGCTGAATATGTATCATTTATCAAATAGGCGGAAGAGTCTGTGAAGGTTTCTGGCTGCCTTTGGGTTTAGTCAAAATGAATGCAAACAATCACGTGGGATTCAGCCAAGCAGTGACGTTAAATTCTGCTCTGTCAGAAGACAGCATCTGTCAAAGCCCACATTTAAACTGCTGCCTGCCTGTGCAGCAGCTGAAGGACTCCGGGAATGGATTTAATAGACCAGAATTCTCGGTTAAAACAGCTCGAAACCATTTCTACTACTGCCTAGCAACAATGAAGGAGGGAAGAGAGACAAATCCTATTACTAAAGGCAACTGAACCACTACGTGCTAGCACTCACTGCTAACATTACCGTTAGAAATATGGATACTGGGAAGAGGAGAACACAGCACTGCATTGTCCGACAAGGGAAACACCAGATGTAAAAGCTCCAATCTATCGGCTGGGAACGCCAGACAGCCCCGACCGCCGAGCAGGAACAAGAACTACTGTCCTTTTGTTTGAAGGATGAACAAAAAGCCCCAAGACAAGGACAACACTTATGAGCAAGGAAGGTAACACAGCAACGAGCCGACAGATGGACAGATTGGATACTGTGAAAAGCAATCGCAGGAAGCAGACTGTTGGGGGATGTGCGCATGTTCGATAGCATCTTTTTTGCTGAAGTGATGGCGTGCCAAAACTATTTTCTGTGGGTATAATCCTCGCACCATAAATGGCCTGACCAGGGAAGGTATGTCAAATCCTTGTGTGTGATATTCATTCAGTTGTCTGTTACCTTTCAGCCATTACAGATAATGATCATTCCTAATTTGCAGAGCCCAGAGATAAGGTGTCTGTGAGCAGTGGAAAAAATTCCAGCAGGTTTTCCTTTCACCGTGCAGAACAATGTCACTACTTTACACGTTTAATGTACTGCTTACAGCCTGCTGTGGGTACAGGAGGGATTAAAGGGATAATGTGGCTGCTGTAATGATTGCATTTAACTGAGAAATTAAAAACTTAAACCCCTCCAATTTAGAAAAAAAAAACAAAAAACAAAAAACAAAAAAAAACTAGTTAGAAATCCTCTCAAAGTAGGTCAGAATTAATCCTTATCGGAAGTAATCTTAAAGCACTGATAAAACGGCCATGATAGGACACACACAGAGAACCATCAAAACAGACCATGCAGTCAAATTACATTATCTAAGGAGTACCTTCAGACCTTTCTCACACTTGCTTCCCCCCTCCCCCCCCCCCCCCCCTTAAACTCAGCAAAATGTCATCAGGCTAATACTGACCAAGCGTAATTTGGGAGCGTGCAAAAGATTGGACATGATCTAAACCATCAGCAGCGCAATCAGGCACCACATTTTACAAGTAACATCAGGCTCCACTGACATCCCAAAAGGAAACCTTCACACACTGTGCACTCAAAATGGTGAGCACGTAAATTACCTCATGCCATCATTACGATCTCTGTTTAATATGAAAACACTGACTGTTTAACTTGGATTGCAAAATGGCACTCAGTCTAATTGTCATTCATTTCCACATTTTGTTTTAATTTAAATACTTCATCAATTGTGGCAAACAAGCAGGAAGACAGCTCGCTATTTACAGTGCAAATTTAAGATCTAAACGTATAGCAATTTAATACACTATGGGATGAAAATGCTTCTCTACAGAACCTACCAATAAGCTGTAATAAATCATTAATCTGTCAACATAGCTGTGTTTACTTTGTGCAAGGCACTCACCTGGCTCACATCACTTTTAAAGCCTTTCCAGGAGTTTTAAAACAAAAAAAAAAAAAAAAAGACCCTGCTTTCCAGCAGCACTCCCAGAGCAGCATGCCTCCCAGCAGTGCCACTTTCCTATCTGACATTTCAAAACCTAAACATCAGAGCTTATCTTGATTATTGCCTGTTTTGAGCACAAACTGAGTGCAGTTGGAGTGAACCAGGGCATGACTCTGTGAGGCCTAAAGCACAGCTGCTGCTCTTCATCAGAACACCGGCTCAGGCTCCTTTGAACTCTTCCCCCTGATTAAAAGGTTTGCCCACAAATCAAAATACGAAAATGCAGAACGTGTAAACAGGGAGTCGAATGCTTCAGACTGCAAAGTTGTAATTATAGAGCAGAACCGAAAGTACAACACTAGTAGAGCACAGACCACAAATAAAAACTCAAGAGGCATTCACAGTGAATATATTTGGCATTCAATCATACATCAGAGACTGCACAGCCAAGTGCCAAAATTCAAGAGCCATCATAAGTCCTATCTTCAAAAGGCACAGCTGTATGCAACAACATGCTTTCAGAGCACAAGGTGACTGCACGGAGACCTTGGGCTATAGTTAGTAATTTGCTTTCTGCTTTGTTGCAATTGCTGTGTTTCAAAAGCTTATTATCCACTGCATATTTTGAGATGTTTTACACCTGTATTGCAAACAAACTGATATACAGTGTTACTTGTTTTTTTTTTTCTAGCTTTAATTTCTATAAAGCTAGGAAACAGATGGGGAGGTCCTTCCTTTATCCATATAGAGTCTCTTGAAAGGGCAATCAGGGATCTAAGACTCTCCAGGAAACTTCCACCTTGAAAAAATCTAGCAAACATGCAAATGAGAGAGGACTCTCTTTATAAAAAAGTCTTTATGATGAGAGATGAGACTAAGACTATAAGAGATTTAATATGCAGTATGTGAGCGTGCAACCTAATAAAGCCACAAAACACTTCACACATTACAACCCCATTCTGGGGCAATTTCTCTGTGCAACAAAGAAAGGCAGCACCTGCAAGCAGTTTTCAGTTCACACATGTTCCTATAACAAGACTCTCTCTTTTCCTGTGTGAAATTGGTGGCACAAGAAAACACTACTTCAAATAAAAATTAAAAACAGCTGAGTAGTACAGTGCAGATTTGCCAAAGTATTTGCACCTAATGACTGAAGTTTTATAGTGCATAATTCAGCGTGGCGAAGTTAATTCTGAATTACAGCTGCTGTTCTGCATTCATCTCCTCATGAAATTCTTGTTTTCACTTCTTCCTGAGCTGCATGCACATGAAACGCAGTGGCAATTAATCAAATATTCCCACTGCTGCCTCCCAAACCCGTATCGAACAATTAGTTTCCCTGAGATCTAGGATATCCTTTGAAGTGACATTTACGTTTGCTCATGCAGAGATATTCATCCCAAATAGCTGAGTGCTCATTTAAAACACTGCACACTGCAGAGAAAGTAAGAATTATGTTTGGAGAGCAGGCTTTTATTTTCTAGGCATGTAAAAGAAGGTGCAAGCGGTCGGATAAACACACATCTTCCCCATCGGGGGCTTATTTCCTTTTTATTTAAGGTATAATTTCTGAGCCAAGAAACAGAGCAGCGTGGAATTAGAGATTAATTCTCAAACAGCATACTTCAAGTACAGGCTTAGCATTTGAAGGCTGGAAGATAATTTTTAAGAAAAGTAGCTCAGGAAAAAATAAAATCCTAAATATTTTCGGAACACAACTCACTAACATCTGCGTAACAGCACGGCAGGGAAGAGTTCAATGTATCACTAGGCAAATATTTTGCCCTTTCACTCAGAAGTAAGGAAAACTGTTGCCGTTTTAGATAACGTTTATGGTTACAAACCCGTTAAAATCCCCACTTACTTGCTCCTCCTGGTGGAGGTTAATAAGATAGACAAACTACAGTTTCAACTCTGTAACTGTAGCAGTAGTTCCTCCTTGCTTCTAAATACTGAGCAATGTCTTCTGCATATAGGTTATTCTGTTTACATATAAACTCACACAGTAACCAAAATGAAGTTTAGTTACACATCTGTCCTTATCCTTTCTGAAATCTCATTTTTCCTTTGCACTAACTCAGCAAACTGAATGTTAGTCACACACAGTAATATATTATTCAAAAGCCATCTCTTCATAAATTACTTCTTTACTGTGCAAAATCGTGTAATTTCCCCATATAACAAGTTACTTAGTTTTTAAACACAGAAATTAATCCAAATATTGGTTTTAAAAGATAGCCAAGTAATTAAGAAATTACACATTTATATTAAAAATAGCATTTTCTGTGGAAGCCTTGTTCAGCTGTCATCCTTTTTTCCCTATACAAAACCCTAGGGCCCAGGAATAAATTAGAGCAAATTGAAAATCACAAACGAATTGCTACTGTGCAGTGAAAGGCTCATTTTCGAGACGATGTGATCAGCTTTTAATATGCAGCATCATGAAGCTGCCATATTGACTCTGCTCTTGAATATGAAAAAAAAATTTAGGAGAAAATGAACCGCAGACTACTTTGGCACTCTTTCCTACAGTTACAGCTGCTATTACCACTACTTCACCTTTCTGCACTATAATAGAAGTATAGTAGTTACATTTAAATTCTCAGAGGAAACAAAAACCAAAAATCACATTCATCAGACAGCTTGCCAGAGAGTAACTTACTGCTGTGCAGCTTTACTTCATGTTGATGTCACTATTTACTTAAGATCTCTATCCACTACAACTCGACAGCTTAACAGTAAATCAACTGCATGCCAGCTTGGTACGAAAGCCAAATATTCAATGCTCTTTCATTGCGGAGCAGAGGGTTAAAGGTGTCTGAAAGGTGACCAAAATTGTTATTGTGTGTTACCATCTAAGCACTGTGCAGAGAGGTTACTGGACCCTGAAAATTAATTTTGACAGGTGCACCTTCTCTCATTGACTTTCTGAACACAGTCAGGGCTGGTGGAGACACGTCAGGCAGTGTACTGTGACTAACAGAACTCTGCCATCATCAACCTTGCAGCGTCTGTCCCACTACCACCACACAACCATTTTACTGTAGGAGTTTTAAACTGAGCCATACTAGCCTCTACACATCACATCCTTTTTAATTAATGCCAATAAACTTTCCAGCTGCTCTTGAGCTCTTCTCGTTCAACCATCCTCAAGCACTGCACAAGGATTTCACAGTCAGTAAATACGATGCTATTTAAGACTCCTTTACACTTTCCCAGCAAGCATGATAATTTTTTTTCCCTATTTATTTCATCTTTGGTACCCAGGATGCTTTCCAGAACTTCTATCATAAAAGTATGCACTGTAAAAACCTAACAAAGCAAGTAATTTTGATTGTAAAACAAGCTTGGCTTTTGGGAAAAAAACAAAACAGAACAAAACAAAAAACTACCCCAGACCTTATTTATGTGTTGCTTCCTCAAAAAACAAAGCTCAATTTTATCTATTTTATCTATTTTCTCATTGTAGCCTCATATCATGTGCAGGTAAAATAAAAAATGTGTTTGGTTTTCTCTTTAAACCCTTCCAGAGAGAGCCATTTGCAGAGAATTACTTGACATGAACAGAAGGAAATGAATACCAAAGAATAGCAGTGGTTTTGGAAAGGAAGCAAACAGCATTTTGCTTGGCCATTGTCTCACACCCCATTGTTGGATTCTTACAACATGCTTCAGTGGAGAAGACGACACTGCTGCCTTGCAAAGATGACCTGGAATACCAAAAGGTCGCTATTTCGCACCCATCTTATTGGCCTGATCTCCCTCGTGTTTCTTTTTGCTGTGTTTCTCTTTTTCAACCATCACGACTGGCTGCCAGGCAGGGCGGGCTTTAGAGAAAATCCCATGACTTACACAATCCGAGGATTTAGATCTACAAAAAGCGAGATGAACCACAGCTCTCTACGGAACATGTGGAAAGACGCCGTACCTCAGACCCTCAGGCCTCAAACAGTCACCAACCCCAACAACACTGACCTGTCGCCGCAAGGAGTAACTGGCTTGGAAAACACCCTCAGCGCTAACGGAAGTATTTACAATGAGAAAGGCACCGGGCATCCAACCTCATATCACTTCAAATACATCATCAACGAGCCCGAAAAATGCCAGGAGAAGGTCCCCTTCCTGATTTTGCTCATAGCTGCAGAGCCTGGCCAAGTGGAAGCCAGACAGGCCATTCGACAAACCTGGGGTAATGAAAGCCTGACGCCTGGCATTCAAATTGTTCGCATCTTCTTGCTGGGGCTAAGTACCAAGACAAGCGGGTACCTCCAGCGTACCATACAGGAGGAAAGCAGACAGTACCACGACATCATCCAACAAGAGTACTTGGATACCTATTATAATTTAACCATTAAAACTCTGATGGGAATGAACTGGGTTGCATCCCATTGTCCAAGCGTTCCCTACGTCATGAAAACTGACAGCGATATGTTTGTCAATACAGAGTACTTAATACACAAGCTTCTGAAGCCAGAGCTTCCTCCGAGGCACAGATATTTTACAGGATATTTAATGAGAGGTTACGCGCCTAACAGGAACAAGGATAGCAAGTGGTATATGCCACCTGATTTGTATCCAAGCGAACGTTACCCTGTATTCTGCTCTGGAACCGGTTACGTTTTTTCTGGAGATTTAGCAGAAAAAATCTTTAAAGTCTCCTTAGGCATCAGACGTTTACATTTAGAGGATGTATATGTGGGGATCTGCCTTGCCAAGCTGCGAATTGACCCCATGCCTCCACCCAACGAATTTGTCTTCAATCACTGGCGAGTTTCTTACTCCAGCTGTAAATATAGCCACCTAATTACCTCCCATCAGTTCCAACCTAGTGAACTGATCAAATACTGGAACCACTTACAACAGAATAAGCACAATGCCTGCGCCAATGCAGCAAAAGAGAAAGCAAGCAGGTATCGCCATCGTAAACTGCACTAGAAGGACAACATTCCCTCTGTCAAATGTATTCCATGTGCAATTTGTAAATATTGCTGAACGCATGTACAGTGAAAATGGATGAGCTTAATGGGACAGCCTTTAGTTGATGCCCATCACATAGTGGAGTCTGAAAATTATTTTTTTAATTTGAAAAAAGTATAGTTCTTGATAACACTAATACTATAAAACCATAACCAAAAGGTTTTCCCAGCAAATTTGAGGAAAAAGACAATGGAGATATAATGATTTTCTGTGTTAATGTGCAATAATAAGCATGCACACTAAAGTGGTACAATTGCAGACTTATGTGCCAATAAAATCTAATTGAGCATATTTTCCACACAAATTTTATTTTTAAGACAATGCATTCATAGCTCTTGCTCTTTTAAGTGTAACAATTTCTTGTCTAGGATTGCTATAAGTAAAACGAAAAACAAGAAGCAAAGGAAATGCACAAAGGGGAGATGAATCTTACCTTCAAATACCACATGAAAATTACTACACACTTCTTAGAAATGCAGTACACTTAGCAGCAACACGTTTAAAATTAAGACACCATTAAACAAACTCTAAAACAATGCAAAAGTGCTTCGCTCAAGTAAGTCCACTTCTAGCAAGGTTGCTTTTTTGGCTAGGGAAAAAGAATAAATGAAAACAAAGCTCAGAAAACCACTACTTTGCACATCTCCTACTGAAACTCACAGCAGGTGTTCTCAATTCAGGTCTAGTTTCTCTTCCAAGTTACTCTCTACAAGTTATAGGGTGAGCCACTGAATCCAGGTGCCAAGCAGCACTGGCACCTACATGCAGATTCGTTCCATCTGCTGTTTATTTTCTTACACAACTTCAAGACAGCTCCAAAGGCTAAAAAGAAAAGCAAAAGCCTTTCACCATAGTCTCAAAAATGTCCCATTTTGTACAAAGAGGGAGAAAAACAACTCAATCTTGATTTGTTTTACTACTTACTGCCTATCAGAAAAAGCATCAGTTAAGCTAAAATAGGACTGCAAGAGGAAATTAAGCCAAACTTTACCTTACAGAAAGAAAGGACTAAGTCATTAGACTGACATTTCCAGACAGAATTATGGGCAAAAACAAAATGGAAGAAAAATTAAAAATCAAAACTACAACATCTGTCACTGAAAACAAGATGGGAGAGGTAGGTTAAATCTACCTGCAGGTAGGCTAAATCTACTTGCAGGTTTTCACATTTTTTAAACAAGCAGAACTTTCAGTTTCTTTTCCAGTGAAGCAGTGTTGCATCGGAATCAGGTTATTGCTACTTGTCACAGTAAGCAACACTCACCTGTGATTTAGCAGCAGAGGATGGAACTGTGATTAGTTTTGTTTGACCGGTACTTTTTAATTGGATAAAACACAATTATTTGATGTACTTTTATTATTTAATAAAACTCATTGTATTTATGGCCCTTCAGACTTCACTTATTAATGGTAAAGCTACTCATCAGGAGGAAATAATTTGCTAGCATTACCTGACTTTTCCTCATTTCCCCTAATTCTTAGGGGAATTTTCATTCCATGTAAAGATACAGAGATTCCAAAAGGTGTTTGTTTTTTGTTTTCCTTTGTAATGAAAAGATGAATGGTATAACTGAGCACTCAGCAACACTATGAGTGTCTATTTCCAGGACCTCACATATTTAAGCAGACGGTGTCACACTGAACTAGCACTCCTACAAAATGCCAGGAAGTCCTATTGAAGACGGCTATTGGAATTTGCTCTTCATCCTCTTTTTTTTCTTTTTTTTTTTTTTGTTTGCATGGACCTCCAATAAACCATCACTCACTGTATTTAAGGTATGATAATCATGTGTTTGTGCATTTCCTACATACCTCAAATAATAGAGGGCACTTCTGTGGAAAGCAAGAGTGTTTAATAGTAAATGCCTGCACAAAGGTCTTCTCAAACTAACCAGACTGAAAGTGCACTGACTTAGTTTCATTGAAAGTTACTGGCATTAATGTGACACAGCTGCAACAGAAAATGTCTTTGGGAGTATTCTTTGAACACTCATTTGTAGTTCTCCTCACACTCTGAGCTAACACAAGCCACAGCTAATACACCAGCTGAAAGCTGCCTGGCTTATGTTAACTATACCCTTATTAACTATTACTATGCTATAGGAGCTTAGAACAATCACAAGCAATTGTTAGATGACTAGAGAAAAGCCACGTACTACCCAGGAGCATTTGGCTGTAGAAGACATACAGTCACACAAGCATCCTCTCCTTGAGTCATGCTGGCCAAGGACACAGTCCTCCCTCCTGGAGGTGGCTTCAACACCATTCCCTGCCTTCAGCACTTTCAAGCTAGAATGTAATATAATGTACTCTACTTGGACTTTCCCAACTCTGGCTAGTTCAAAATGCTGCTACTGGCTTCTGGACATTGTCCAAGAGGTTAATAACTAAACCTTAAATAGTTTGGCACTTTAATTACGAAGTTTGGCAGCCAAACAACCTCTCGGGTACTCCACTTTGGAGCTCATACACAGTACCAATCTGCCCGAGTTTGGCAGAATTATGCTACAATACCTATGAGTTCAGCACACTGAACTTCTTTCTAGTTAAAATATAAGATGATGCAAGAAAAAGAAAAAAAAAAGCCATTTGTAATGTTCTTTTAACAGCCTGACAATTTTTAGAAATCTGAATTAGTACTTGAGTATAATTTGAAAATAATCTATAAACATAACATACTCAAACCGTTATCTAAACAGTCAACAGCTACTTAAATCTTTTGTGTCCAAGTATTGTTTTCTTGCAGTCTGTTATGAGGCTTTCAGAAATGGGAGGGAGAGCTTGTATGGTGAAATATGCAATTACAGAATGAAAGATCTCTTTGCATTCTTTGTGTTGTTACCACTCTGTAGCTTGAGTTGAAGCTATTTACCCAATGTAGAAGAGCACAAAAACAGCTGATGTTAAAAAACAGTTCAATTACTAATGTCATTAAAACCTTTGACAAGTTTTCACACGTCCTATCCAAAATAAAGCAGGACTAAAAATGCATTGTTAGTAGGATACAAGTTTCTATCTGAGTTTAATGTATCTGCAATGCAGTAAAAAACAAAAAACCAAAAACACTAGTCTGCTTACCAAGATTTGTGTAATTTTCTCTTTAAATGTCTCTGTATGTTTGTTTCAGTTTGAGAAGAAATACAAAAACATCTAACATGACTCTAAATTTATTAAAGAAAATAATCATCATCAGCACCGTCATCACAGCAAAGAAATACTTTGGTAAAACGAAGCAAGCGAACCAAGTGAAATGAGTTTAGTAATATTTCTTCATTTAACTTTCAACTAAGAATTTAAGCATTCATATTAGACAACCAAAATAAAGTTCCACAAGTATCTTACACCAACAACAGGTTTGTTGGTCTCCAATTGTATTAGTAAACAGAATTATTTGCAGATCATTCCACATCGCATTTGAGCATGGAAATCGCACAAGTACAGCTGCCGGAGTAAGAAAGCTGATCCTATCCCCAACCACAGATCCATTTCTCACAGGTGAGGTTCCTGATCTATTCTACGTGGAAAAAAACTACGCATAAAGACATTCCAAGCCTCAGTAGTTCCTTTGAGGAAATGAAATAAGATTAGTGTCCATTAAGATATTTATGTAAATACTATGAATTATTTCTCTGCTCTAGAATTTAAAATTATATCGCGGCAGTGATCTAGGAAAATAAGACAGACTGGTTGTCAGGTCAAGCAGAGTAAAACAGTGATTTAAAAACTCGCTCTCTCTGCAATGCAGTCAATGTGTTTTAGGCCATCTTTACAAATTTAACAACATATTATCAGATATTAACGACTCAAAATCAATGCGAGATCAGGTGTGATTTGAGCACGGGAAAGAATCTAGAAGCCATTGCTGTAGACAGCCCCAACACCATCCCTGCACATTGTCCCAATACACTATCGAAATACCCATCACACTTAGATCTCAAATACCTACATTGTCCCACACTGCAAAAAAAAAAAAAAAAAAACAAAACCAAACCAAAAACAACACAACAACAAAACACCTACAACCTTATCCGCAGAATGAATGCCCATTGCCATTTGTGAAAACTTTCCAGGAGGAGATGAAAGAGAGATGACACTAACATAAAAGTTACTACTTTTTACATTCAAGCTATTAGCAAGGTTTGTAACTGCTTTGCTAAAGCATCGATAGTTGTTTGTATCTTTTTTTTTCCATTTTGAGAACACACTTTTCAATCCTTACTTCGTGCTGTCAGATAACACAAGTAACCATTGGACAATTTATTTACACTATGATAACTACAGCTATGGAATTTTAAAAGCATTATCTTCATTTTTCATTTCTGATTTTTTTCTTAGAAAGCAATGTGGGATTTTAGGTAGAGCAGAGTCTTACCCTTCCTGACCCCAATAACTTCAGACTGGGGATCATCCCTATCATACATGGCATTTGCTGTATTACTACAGATGGAATCTCTAGCCCATTCGTTCCAGAATCCCATGTCCAGCTCTGCTTTGCAGGCCACTCAGAAGGAGAGCACAGGGAGAGGAGAGAGGCACGGAGCTGCACCGCCAGCCAGGCAGTGCTGTACTTGTAAATGTAGGTCAGGAAGCAGAGAACAAGCTCTTTGCTTCGTACCCAAGGCAAGAATGAATTTAAAGGCTTTCTATGGCAGGAGGATGGGGGAGGGCTGCGGAGAGCAACCTTGCAGTAGGTCAGTTAAAAAAGCTCTTGAATGTGGAGGGAAAAAAAAAAAAAGAGCGAAATGAAAACCACAGCAGCTGATCAACACCATACAGGTTAAGAAGTACACATGTCCCATATAAATAGGGCAGGCTTAGTCATAAAGAAAAGCTCTGTAAGTGAGGCCAAATTAGAAAGCATCGTCTGAACTTCTAGCGATGAGTGTTTGCATTTCTCTCCTCCTAGAGGAAATAAAAATCTAAAGTAAACTCATTCCTGTGACTAAACTTCTAGCTTGTGCTTGCAGTACAAGCTTTTTTATTACAGCCTGCTCCAAAGCAATTACAAGAAATGGCATGATGGCATGAAGAGCCGGTCAGGAACTCCAGAGGGGCAGTTTTACATACAGGAGTGCCAATAGAATCAAGTCATAAGCACAGAGAACTCGATCAGTTTTCCCTAGGACTTGCATTTCATCCCCAAAGGCGGGGTTTGCTACATTTCTCATTTCTCCCTAGTTAACTTGAAAGAAAGCCAGGCCTGGTACAATGTGGTACCTTCACCTCATAGTGAAATGACTACATAAGAATTTAGCTGAACATGGGATAGAGATGAAAACTACCACGTTGCCGTTCTCATATTACCATGGCAACAGTTAAGCGAGCTCCCTTCAGCAGTTAAATCTGACAGCTTTCATAATAACACTAACTGGATGATAGTAATGATGCGTTGTGCTCCATGAGCCAACCAGTGCAGGAGTCAAACCACAGGGTACGAGCCATGCCCCTCGCTGCTCTCCCAGCAATGCCTGTGGTCAAAGCCTTCTGACCGAGATAGTAACCTCCAGTTACTCCTCTCAAAACAAGTTCCTGTAGCACAGGGAACGCTCATGGCTTACAGCTTTATGTCGTCTCAAAGGTTTCCATTTGAAACCTTAAGTCGTGCACAGATGCTGTACTGGGTGGAGAAGTCAAGACTGCTTAAAAGCTTGATGGGAATGTTCTCAAAGGGCTCCACTCACCTGGGAACGCATGAGAAAAGAATACGCTTTCTACAGAGTGAACAAAATTGCTGCTGCTGTGTTTTCAGCATCATTTGTCTGAGCAAGGAGGAGGTAAGCAGTGGCTGGTGTCTTGCTATAATGCCTACCAACACGTAGCCACTGTAGACTGCTTCAAGTAAAAAAAACACGCTGCCTCACTGAAGGCCCAAGTATGCTGATGAATATGGAAATATATCTCTGAAGACAAGCTCATCAGGACAATCTCATCCACCTCCTTCTAGCCTATTTAAGCTTTATCTAATATTAACTGACATGTTAACTGTTTAACATCAATATTCTGTGAACCACTCACTGTGATCTCCCAGATACTTAGCTTGGGCATAATGGAAAAGCCTCCACATATTTACCTCATTAGAAAGAGAAGGGTGTGAAGCATTACTCACCCTAATGTTCTGAGGATAACAGGTTTGTCTTGCAACTGGTTCAATAGAAACAAGATGAGAAAACTGAGAACAGTGTGAAACCCTTAAAAGTTCAAGATTTCCTAAGATGACAAACAGATCAGAGGAAATAGTTATGTTTGTCAGCATGTAAGAAGTCTTCAAAAAGTTAAATATTCCCAGCTCTTCCTGTTGACATATTAACAGTTTTGTATTATATTACAAATTTTTTTTAGAAGTCTGTGCCATCACAAAAATGCTGAATTCCTCCACTCTTGAGAAGTCAACAACGTCTTTCTTGGGGAAAGGCCAAGTGTTCCCACACCACAATAAGCCCAAGGTTCAAAACAAGAAAAACTGACTGCTGCAAGAAATGCTTTTTTAATAAAATACCAAACAAGTCACCAAGGAAAACAAAACCCTAACTCACTGCCTTTATTAAAAATTTAACATATCCAGCATTTAAATGACATCAGGTCTAATGAAACATTAAGAGAGAGTCTAAGTTTCTTTCATTCACTGCCGCTTGTCATAATCTCTAAGCCAAGTATGAATTTGGCACATAAAGAAAAGCTACGTCACAGTTAAAGCCTGTTGTGCCATAATATATAGGTTGATGTGACATAAAACAAAATGAATCACTGGAAAATGCCATCTGTGACTCAGTCTAAAATTTTTCATGTAAAAAAATTTAGTACTGCCACTTACCGCAAATTCCAGCCTTTTTATAGGCATTCCTCCCAAGTCCAACTAGGCACTGATTTTTGTAGATGTACAAATTCAACTGTCCAGCCTTGTGAATCATGAGAATAACCAATTTCCCATTATAAGATCTCTGAATATTTTAAAGCTTTGCATTTTATTCTTTTTTAACTTGGGAAACAATAACATTATGTCACAACAGTTTAAAGAAATGAGACTGTAATTTAGATATGCTCTTCACATTACTTAAGATTCTAAAATAAGACTAAATATCATACACACACCTGAGGGCACTACACATCTGTTCCTCAAAAAGCCAATTGCAAAGCTTATGCTGTTAGCACCACAAAGCACATCGAAAGGGGAATAAAATAAAAATAATTTAATTACATGGTTCCTAAGTATAAATGCACCTTCAGCTCAGGAGGTATTTACAGTAATGCCCCTCCTGATATCATGAGGAAATTATCCTTCAAATAGGAACTGATTTTCAATAGCAGATGCCCCAACCCTGGAGGCAGTCAAGGCCAGGCTGGATGTGGCTCCGGGCAGCCTGGACTGGTGGTTGGTGACCCTGCACATAGAAGTGGGTTGAAACTAGATGATCATTGTGACCCTTTTAACCCAGGCCTTTCTATGATTAATCCTGTTGTTTCACTAAATTCAATATGGTTAATTTGCAAAGCAGCTAAACCATATTACTCCAAAAGGTTGTCTGTTTTCTTAATTCTCAACATGGTAAACACCAATACATCAATTAAAAGAATGATAGATAACCACAATTGTTTTATTTTCCTAGCAAGTCTGTTTCCTGCATCTGGCGAATATTTTATTTTCCTTCTCAATTTTTCTTTTTTTTTTGAGAAATGGATGCTGAAAACAACTTCAGACATCCAACTTCATTCATGTTAATAAAGGAATGACAGCCTTCTCCCACTAATTCTGGGGACTCCAATCTTAAGTAAATAATAATGCTGCCATTTCATTAAAAAAGAAAGGAAGAGACAAGTCCCTCAAGCATTTTTCTCCCTTACACCATTTTCTAATAGTAGAAGTTAACTCAAATGATTTATTGTCGAAATTTTACACAAGCAGAAAACAATAGAAAAGCTCAAATGAAGAACACAATCACACTCCTTCCCTACTCCTCCCCCTATTCATCAAAAGGCTTCACACCTGTGAGCGCACACTTTCTGG